ATGGGAAATGAACAACCACAGCATAGCAGACTGATGTGTATGGCATTCTAAAGGTTGAGATCTGCTGGAAAACCAGTGCTTAAGACCAGTAATAATAATAATAATAATAATAATAATAATAATAATAATAAAATATGATCTTAGTAAATTTTAAATCTTTTTGCAAACTTTCAAGAACTATAATACATAATTAGGAAAAACTTTTACTAGCACATTCATTTATGTTTCATGTTTCTTTAAAAAAAGGTTGAAACAAATCCAAAAATAACTTACTTTTTGGACAGTAATTTAACCCCCATAAAAAGAACCACTGCTTCCACTCCAAGCGCAGCGAGGATGATCCCATCATAGAGCACAGCCTGTTGCTGAGTCCAGGCATACATGTCCATTGTGAGAGGAGTGAGGATTCTGAGAAGAGAACCACTCTTGTTTAAATCAAGTAAAAGCATCAGTAATAATACACCTTCAAGAATTAGCATCCCTTTTAATTTATATTAAGAAAGTCCAAAAACTAGAAAAGGAAACGAATCAATTCTAACTCCTACCCTCCCAACTGCTGTGGTTATACTCTGGTGGAAACTGATCACTGTTCTTGGTGTAGCTTTGAGCTTTGGGGAGACAGAGCTTTCAATAACTAGCTGCTCTTGCAGGAATGATTTCTACATAGAGACCACGAGGCTTCTTTAAGGAGCAAGAGTAAGTTTTATGTTGACATCTTTTTCAAAATCAAAATGACTTCGGTTTTGCTGAAAGTGTACTTTCCAGATGCTTTTTTCCTTCCTTGTTATGGAAGTCTATATGTTACCAGCTGTTCAGATCTGTTCCCCATAGTAAATCTATTATTTTAATTAAAATGTCATACCTAGTACATTTTAGAAAATAATATAATAAATAAATGCATTACATTGCTAATGACAAAAACAAATCGGTCTCTCCTCAAAGCAATGTCATGTTGTCAATTTATTAGAACCTATTGGACTTTTTTCCTCTTCCTCAGTCTCTTCCATTTGTACTATGAATATATGTATTTCTCTCCTTACCTCTGTATACCTCTTCCTTTATATGACTGTCTCTTTCCTTACCAAGCCTTTTTCCCTATATTCTACAATCTTCTGTCAAATAATGACAAAACAGAATCTATACTTTAAGATACTGTTACCATTTTTAGTAAATTATTTAAACTTTAAAATCAGATGAGCTGATGTAGAAAATACATTAGAGGTTTCCCAAAGGGCTAGACACAGAATTAGCACATGATCTAGCAATTTCTTTCCATATATACCTGAAAGAACTAAAGGCCAAGACCTAAGCAGATGTTTGTACACCAGTGTTTGCAGCAGCATTATTCAAAATAGCTGGAAGGTGCAAACCACCAAGCTGTTTGTCAACAAACAAATGGGCAAATAAAAGTGGCTATCACTAACCAAAAAATGTTAAAAAAAATTCTGATACACCGTATGATGAAACCTTGAAAACATACTAAGTGAAATAAGACAGAGTTGCATACTTCATGATGCAACCTATCTGAGGCAGAAGTGTTCAGCAGGTCACCAGGAGCCGGGTACAGAGCAGACGAGGGACTAACTGTGAGTGGGTATGGAGTTTCTGTTTGGGATGTGAAAATGTCTGGTCATGGGTTCATAATGTTGTGACTATACTTGATGCCACTGGATTCAACTGGGCAAAAATAGTTAAAATACCTGGTCTAGTAGTGTAGGCCTGTAATCCCAACTACTTGGGGCAGAGGCAGAAGAATCATAAATTTAAGGCCTGCCAGACTACAGAGCAAGTTCAAGGACAGCTTAGACAACTTAGTAAGACTTTGTCTCAAAATAAAAAATAAGTAGGTTACGAATGTAGCTCAGTGGTAGAGCACTTGCCTAGCATGCTTACGGTCCTAAATTTAATCCCCACTATTGAAAACAAAAGTCAAAATATAAATTTTTGATGCATATTTTATAATAAAAATTGCCCCCAAGATAGGATGAGCTGTAATTTTCATATATCTCAATAATTCTGAAAATATATCAAGTAAATCTATATATACTGACAGACAAATGTTACAGTGTAAATGAATAAACCAAGTTGTCAAATGAATTTAGTACAACTCTCCTCCCCCAGCAATCTCTCATAGTTACAAAAGAAAAAAAGAAAATGAACTTGAAAAAAAGTGTCCTTTTTTTTCCAGTGGCTACCTACAAAGAAAGGAATGGATGTGGAAATATGGTATTTGGAATTGTATTATTTATAATAAAAAAAACTATTTTTATAATTTAATAGAAACATTTTTTAAAGGGCTACATGATTAATAAGGGTCAAATGCAGCCTACACAAGATGGAGATTTTATAATACACTAGTGCTACTGCGCCCCTCCCCCCAATCAAGGATTAAACAGAGCTAATAGTGCCAGACTTACAGTTAATTAAGTCATGGTACAAATTTCATATACTTTTTTATGCAAGAAAAATATGCCTTACATAGATTTTTAAAAACAATCTATATGCATAATTAACACTGCATTAGGAAATAGATTAATAAATCAGATTTAAATTAAGATAAAACTTACGTTTCAAAAAGGGCAAAGATAAAAAGAACCACAAAAAACAGAATATTGGTAGCCACAACAGCAACTTGATCAATACTTCCTTCAGAAATCTGACTGCCATCTGCATTTTCTATAAATAGGAGAAAAATTACATTACCCATAGTTCCAATTTTTCTTTTTTTTTTAATTTTATCATTTTTATTTTGTGTATGCGTGTACTGCCTGTATGCAGGTAAGCACACCCATGATATACAATGCCCGCGGAGGGCAGAATAGGCTGTCAGATCCCCTGGGACTGGAGTTATAGACAGTTGTTAGCTGCTATGTGGGTGGGTGCTGGGATTCGAACATGGGACTTCTGCAAGAACAGTGTTCTCAACCCCTGAGCCATCTCTCCAGCCTCTAATATTTCTTTTTTTAAGAAATATTTATTACTATTTTTAAATTTTATATGTATGAGTGTATTGTCTGCATGTAGGTGGGTACACCTATGTCATGCAATGCCCAAAGAGGTCAGAATCAGATCCTCAGAAACTGGAGTTACAGACAGTCGTTAGATGCAATGTGGGTGCTGGGAATCGAATCCAGGTCCTCTTCAAGAGCAGCCAGTGCTCTTAACTGCTGAGCCATCTTTCCAGCCCTATAATTTTTCTTATGATGATAAAGTAATCTGAAATTTTCAGTTGTGTGGTGTGGTGCCCCATGTCTGAAATCCCAAAACTTGGCAGCAAATTTGAGGCCAGCCAGGGCTATGGGGGAGTTCAGGTCAGGGGGATGGAGAAAGAGAAAGAAAGGAAAAATATAGAGAGAGGAGAAGGAAAAGGGAAGAAAAATAGGTAGCAAATTCTGTGACATTAAAGCTTTTTGAAGCAGTATAAAAATACCAAGATTCAAATGAAAGAACTGATCATTAAATGGCATTTAAAAGTAAAGTGAAGCCGGGCGTGGTGGCACACGCCTTTAATACCAGCACTTAGGAGGCAGAGGCAGAAGCTGTGAGTTCAAGGCCAGCTGGGGCTACAGGGAGACCCTGTCTCAAAAAGACCAAAAAAAAAAAAAAAAAAAGTTATGTTGGATTTGTGGGAAGGAGGAAGATGCATAGGGTGGTAGGAAGATGGGTGTGGGGGGGAGTGAGATTAATCAGTATACACTGTGTATGTGTTATGTTAGGCTGGGCATGGTGTGTGGCACACACCTTTTATCCCAGCACTCAGGACAGAGGTAAGATGGATCTCTGTGAGTTTGAAGCCAATCTGGTCTACATATTGAGTTACATAGCAACTACATAGATTGCATAGTAAGACTCTGTTTCAAAAAGAACAAAATCAAAAAAAAAAAAAAAGTACTGTTAATATTGGGCACACCTGTTATCCCAGAACCCAGGAGGCTTAGGCAGAAGAAAATGAGTTCCACATCAGATTGAGAACTTACCTCAAAAGTAAATAAAGATTATTTATATCTTTACAAGGAAATAAACTGTACTCGACAGTGCGTTTATAAAAGCAGGAGGGCAAGTGCACTGATACCTTGAACCACATGATTAAACTATGCACTCAGTATAGACTATTCCTGACATAACTGCGAAGTCTTTATGTAACCATACATGTCCTAATACATTTTCTCATGCTGTTCTGTAGCTTATCCACTTTCTTAGCATAAAGAATGCAAATAATAACGAATGTGCATGTATGCTGAGTGTATGTGTGCGTGGTTGCAATGGGGAAGGATGTGTATGACTTTCCTGTAACACAAAGTTTCTATAAATCTTTCATAATGGTGCCTGCCTTTCTGTCTCAGTAGAAAAGAGGTTTGGAAATAGTCTGCAGTATTTAGGAGTACTGAGCTCCTTGGCTTCTGACATTCTTTTTTAAGAGTACTGGTCACCTCATCCAGACCCTTTCAAGGCCCTAGTCCTTCTGGCCCTTGTACTATTTGGTATAGACTTCTCTGACTCTCAGTCACTACCCAAAGGCCTGTCTTGACTTCTTTGAATCAAGTATGACTACTGTCCAAAATCAGACTGGAACTTCCTACATAAATGGTTAGTTTTTTACAGCCTCTACCCAGCATTGGCAACTGTGAGAAATCTTGAAAATGTATCCTAGACTGAAGAAACTAAGTCTTCTAAGAATTTTAAGGAAATGCTATATTAATACATCAATTCAAATTTTATGGAATTAAAATTGTGATCTCACTCAAGGATAATCTCTTTAAACTTGAATATCCTTAAAATAAAGTCATAGAAATTTATACCAGATGCCTTTTATTCAAATATTTGTTGAAATATAAAAATGATTTTATATAAAAGTAATCAATAAGCCAGGCGTGGTAGTACACGCCTTTAATCCCAGCACTTGGGGAGGCAGAGGCAGGCGGATCTTTGTGAGTTCAAGGCCAGCCTGGTCTATATAGTAGTTCCAGGACAGCTGGGCCTAAGGGAGACCCTGTCTCAAAAACATCAAAAAAAAAAAATCAATAAAAATCACACTATGACTTTTGTATGATTTTATAAAGTACCAATTCTATTCTTTCATATGGCTGGAAACTACAAATAGTAATTAAATAATAATTTCTTTGGCAAAATATACCTACCTACCAGACTGGGTAAGTCAAAAGAGGACCTAAAGCTGGGGCTGTGCAGATAGGTAAAATTACTGCTGTGAACGCCTGGGTTCAGATCCCCAGCACCCACATGAAAGTTGGGAACGGTGTTTCTAACTACCAACTAACACTGGGAAACAAGGACAAGTGAATCTTGGGGGCTCACTCGACAGCCAGTATAGCCTAAATAGCAATCTCCAAGTTCAGTGACACACCTTATCTCAGAAAATAAGATGGAGAGCGAATAAAGACGAAATCCAATGTTGACCTCTAGCTAGATACACATAACCCACATGGACAAACACCTGCATACACATGCAGAAATACATATACCATGGACCCACAAAAAAATCTAATAGCTAAAAATGTACATTTATAAAGTATAAAAGAATACCTATGGCGCTAGAGAGATGAATCAGTGATTAAAGACCCCTGGCTACTCTTGCACAGGACCCAGGTTCGGTTCCCAGCACCCACATAGCACCTAACAACTGTCCGTAATTCCAGTTCCAAGGGGTCCAATGCCCTCTTCTGACTTCTGCGGGCACTGCATGACACAGGTGCACTTACATACATGCAATACACTCATACACATAAAATAAAAATAAATATAAAAAAGTATACCTACTTTCATAATTACAGTATTGAGAACTGCCTGAAGCCAGGTGTATTGGCTTACAACTATGATTCCAGCACAAGGCTAAGGCAGGTTGATCACAAGTTCAAGACCTGCTTTGGCTATGCATTGAGACACCTTCCCAAAACAACAAACAAATGAACAACAAAAACCATGTGAAAAAAAAGTGTACTAGTAAAGTTACCAAAAGCACCGAAGGGGTCTTGAAGGCTTAAAGGCACTTTGAAAATAAGAAAGAGTGATTTGTAGCAATGGTTTTAGCTTTGCCAATCACAAACATAACTGATATGTGTAGATGTCTCTTAAAAAAATTAATGTAGCTCCCTCTGGCAAAGGGGCTGAGATCTCAGAGGACTGCCTGGATCCTGCCTCCATGTGGTGAAGACTTTGAGAGGGAACTGCACTGATTCTAACCACCTCAACAGCTGTCAAAATACCTGAAAACAAATCCTGAACCCATCACTCTCGAGTCCAGCCTTGGCAGACAAAAGAAAAATGAGGAGGAACCCAATACAGGGATGCTTCTGGAAGCACTCATCAAGAAATCCCAATGGATTCTGATATAAACATTTGAAATTTGCCCTGTTCTGACTTTTTTCTAGTTCCCTGTCTAGAACTTGTAATGCTAACTACTCTTGCCTTTACTCCTTCACATTCCCTATTCACTAGTCAAGGACCTTCTTTTCTCCCTACAGATAAGAGTTATACAATTTGGGAGTCTTTTAGATAGACCCACTGAAGGGGTACCCCAGTTGCCCCACCCTGTGTCCCTGTTCAGTATGGAAGAAGCCAGAGCGATCTGCATTCCGATTCCCTATCAGTAATTTGAGTAACCTCTTCAGAGGATGGTGTGATAAGAATAGGAGGTAGGAAATGGCCAGGCAGTTAGGGTAAAAATACCCCAAAGAAAAGTAGCCAATTTCTTGGCTAAAAGTCAAAATGTCCTTGGGCCTCTTAGCAACATACTATGTTCCAAAGGCCAAAAATGTCAAAAGTATTTGGGAGATCTTATCCAACCCCTACAAGATTTTAGGGTTACCTCTTCAGAGGGGCAATGTTAGAGTAGCAAAAATCCCCACTGAAAGAAAGAAAGAGTACAAGAAGTTTTCAGAAAAAAAGTGATGGGGAGATATGGGAGGTGTTGGAGGTGAGGGAGTGGTGTGGATTTGAACACCTTATATGCACGTATGAAATTCTCAATAAAGTCTCTTGAAAAGTTAAAAAAAAATAATGTAGGTACCTTTCACCTTTGAAGATCTTCCCCTCTCACCCACTACATTGGTCTTAGGACCAAATCAAGCAAATACCAAGCAAAAAAGAACCCTCAGGAATACTTTAGAATGGTAAACAGCTAACAGTACCTTCTTCAAAATTAACACTTTTACACTGTCGTCCTAAGTCATCCACACGATGTTCTCTTGAAAAAGAAAAGCAATAATATTATATTCATAAGATTCTTAGTACAGACTGGTTTATGACTAACATTCTATTTTTCCCATTCTGATAGTTTCTTTTATCAGCTTCTGAGTAATGAATTTTTTGATTGATTCAAGAATTTCATAGAATGTATTTTGATCACATTCAGACTCCCTCCCATCTCTACCCTCAACTTACTCCCCCACCCCCCACCTCCAAACCCCACCCCCATCTTCATGTCCTCTATTAGTAAATGAAAAGCCCCATTCATCTTACACAACACATCTGAACTAGATGCCAGAGAAATCATATCTCATTAGAATGTCAGTGATCTATAATTCTTATACACAGAAGTGCCAAAGTAAGGGCCCATACTCCCTTTCCTTTGTACAATGGTTTTGGGTCAGAATATACCCAGGTTTCTTGGAATGGAATTTTCACAGTTGTTTTCTGTTACTTACACACTGCTTACAAATGTCAAGTAGGGATTTCTCTCTTCCTTAGCTAAGAAATACTTGGGTTTCCTCATCAAAGTCAGTTATTCACAGCCCAAGTACATGCAGTTTACCCTTTGGCTGTTTCCAGGCCTAACTCAGCACAATGACCCCACTGTGGTCCAAAGCATTCTCCAACAGGTTGATTCCCCCCAGGGCTTTACTGTAAATTAAAGCAAAAGCTAGGTCCTCACACCAAGCATCAGTTAGCTCTAACCCAAGATTCTCTAAGTGGTAGTTGAGATGTTTCACAGCTTTACACAACAGCTTTACACCAGTGTTCTCTAGCTTACTTTATGTAATCTGCAGACTTGTTAGGATCCTACTGCTGCTAAGGACTACACTGACAGCCAGTGGATGATGATGATTGCTGGGCTGACCATGGGCATACTGTGAAGTGGTTGCTTTCAGGTCAAAGCCCCTAGCAGGGGGCCCAGTGCTACAGTGCCCCAAGTGTGTGCAGATGGCCAGGGCAGGGTGTGGGCAGTCAGCCTGGGGTCAAGCTCTGCTCACCAGGGTCTGTGTGGTCAGGTCTGAATGTTTGTTGTTTTTTTTTGTTTTTGTTTTTTCTTCATGGTTGAGGGTCCAGTTGGCTTTCTTGGTGTCTGCCTCATGGCCAGGGGTAACAAGTGATGAGACATCTTATTATCTGAGTCATGTTTTAAGTCCTCAAACTAAAGGACCCCACTGCCACCACCATCACTCCGGTGCCTACAACCATGAAACCACCATCTTGGCTCCCCACTTATTTTCTATTTTACTTGCCAAGTCCTGAGTTTGGAATTTTGAAATCAATATGGAAGCATCTATGGTCAGGAAAATACTCATCCTGTGTGATAAAGTTCCTCACAAGGTCCTGCACAGGGACTCAGTCTCTTGGGAGCTGGTGCACCCCAGCCCAAGTGTAGCTGTCTGGGATGGCCATGTTTTATCCAATCCATAATGAAGTTATTAATGAATTATCAATGCATATAACCAATATTCCAAAGGATACTTCTTTTTCAGCACTGGAGATTAAGTCATAGGGTTTCACACATCTTAAGCAAGCAAGCTCTGTGCCCTGAGCTGTACTTTCAGTGCTTTTTTTTCCCGGTGAAATAAGGCCTGGCAATGCTACCCAGGCTGGTTTCAGAATCCGTGGCTCAGGAGGATTCTGCCTCAGCCTCCCAAGGTCTATGACTAAATACCATCATATAAAATAAAATAACCAATTTATCCAAAAGCATACATGCTTGACCTTAGCAAGTATTTGAAGTTTTTCAGTGTTTTAAACATTAGCTACAGATGTTCTTAGAAAGTTAGATGAAGCATTCCAAAGAAATACAAAGTAACAATGCTAGTTTTGGCAGCACATACTTGTTATCTCAGCATCTGAGAGGCTGAGGCAGAAGGATCCTGAATTCTGAGGTCAGCCTGGGCCTTATAGCAAGACCTTTTCTGAAAAATAAAGTTAAAGCTGGGCATGGTGGCACACGTCTTTAATCCTAGCACTTGGAAGGCAGAGGCAATCGGATCTCTGTGAGTTCAAGGCCAGCCTGGTCTACATACTGAGTTCAGCTCTGGCTACATGGAAAAAAAAGACCAAAAAGTAAAATAATTAAAAATAAAGTTAATAGCCAGGGATTGTGGTGTACACCTTTACTCCCAGCACCTGGGAGGCAGAGGCGGTTGGATCTCTGTAAGATCAAGGCCACCCTGGTCTACATAGTGAATTCTAGGCCAATTTGGGTCACCAGGAGGTGCTGTCTCAAAATGATCAAATAAATAAGTAAAAAATAAAGTTAAAAAATAAAAAGAGGGTGGAGAGATGCTCAGCAGTTAAAAGCACTGGCTGCTCTTGCAGAGGACCCAGGTTCAGTTCCCACCACCCCCATGGCAGCTAACAACCATCCCTAACTCCAGGTACAGAGATCCAATGCCCTCTTCTGACCTCTGCAGGCATTGTACACATAGGTGCACTTACGTACACTCAGGCAAAACACTCATACACATAAAAATAAATTTAAAAAAATTAAAGCAGTACAAAGTAATAAAACCATAGTTTCAGAAAAGGAAATACCATTTTCCCCTACTTAGAAACATATAGTTAGTAGGTCAAGACACAATCTTGACTCTTCAAAGATCTTTCTGTTTTCATTTGTCAAGCTTTCTTATTATTATAGTTGCTAGTACATGCTATAGGTGATCAAAAAAAAAAAAAAAAAACCCAACCATAAACATCAAAGCACAGAATTATAGGGTCAGGCCTTGTAGCACAAGCATATAATCTCAGCTATCTGGTAGGCTGAGGCAGGCAATTGAAGGCCTGTCTGGTCTTCTGAGGGCCTAGGCAATTTAACAAAATCCTGTATCAAAATAAGAGGTAAAGCTGGGCCTGGTAGCACAGGCCTTTAGTCCCAGATCTGTATGAGATAATAAAAGCTTGTCTACGTAGAGAATTTCAAGGCAGCTGGGGCTACAGGGAAACCCTGTCTCAAACAAAAATAACAACAAATAAAAATAACTGGAGATATAGCTCAGTGGTAAAGGACTTTCTTGGCATGTGTTGAGGCCTAAGGTTCAATACCCACTATCACATAAAAAAATATTTCACAGGGATAATTACCCTTCAGTAATAGCAAGACTTATTAACCTTCATAATCTGCAAACAAAGCTTATCATTTCTATGTAGTTACCTTAATATGAAAAGGATTAGAATAATATTTAGAATTCCTAGGAAGGCGCCAAGTAAAACCGGTGCTGTGTACATGTTGATCTGTAGCTTAATGGTGTCCCATGTAACACCCTTTTCTCCAATGAGTGCAAAACAAGTCTGAAAAACTAATAAAGTATGTACAGTTAAGTTTTGGAGGCATAGGCTAAAAATGTTAAAGACACTTACCACAGAATTGGAAGGAGTATTATAGAACCATGACTCTGTATTAGGCTTCTCAACAAGGGAAACAAAATTGGCTCTTGACAGAGACAATTCATTCCTTTCATGTATAAATCAGACATACATAGAATGCACATATATATTTACATATAAATACATATTTATGTGTGTATGTGATAGACGTATGGCATTAAAATTTCATGAGGAAGCTGGGCATGGTAGCATACACCTTTAATACTAGCACTTGGGAGGCAGAGGCAGGCGGGTCTCTGTGAGTTCAAGGCCAGCCTGGTCTACATAGTGAGTTCCAGGACAGCTGGGGCTACAGGGAGAGCCTGTCTCAAAAAGACACCCCCCCCCAAAAAAAAAATTTCATGAGGGATGGAGTAACTAGGGGAAAGCATCTAAGAAGGTTGCTTAGAGAGACAATGTTGAAAAGCTGAAACACATATGTGCATTCACAAACTACTGTGTAACTCAAGCAGTTTATCAGCATCTTTTCTTGATTTAAAGAAGTTTTTATTGGGAGATATTAAATATACATAATTATGGCATTTATTATGAATTTTTATAATATGTGTTCTGCTACTTAATAATATTTGAAACAAAAAAAAAACTATATAATTACATCAATAAATAAATTATAAATTTAAAAAATTTTACATTTATTTATTTTAGTGTGTGTTTGTGTGTGTGTGTGTGTGTGCATGCCTGCCATGGCATACTTGTAGCAATCAGGACAACTTTCAGGACCTAGTTCTCATCTCCAGGCTTGGAGGCAAACATCTTTAGCCATTGAACCATCTTGCCTACCCAATACATTATAAATTTATTAACTTCATTATAAGAAAGAAAGCATCACATTTTAGGTCAAATACTTTGAAGATTATTGTGTATGAAGTACTTAAATTGTATATATTTAGTATCACTTAAAAGTAAATTTGTAGCAAAACTTGGAATAGTGTGAATTTTCTCTCCTGGTTTAGATGATTCTACAGGTGGCTCCATTAGTACTAGAAAGCAACTTAAATTTCCTTTTCCCTTTAGCCATGAAGCTTCATACATGGATCACATTTAACACTGGAACCTCACAGGTTTTCCTGATTCACATTTAGTGAGCCTAGTGAAGACCACCTACCTGGACCTAGAATAAAGCCCAGAGCTTGGCACGTGCTTGTGTTTGCCATGGCACTTGTTCTTTCCTGAAGAGAAGTAGCACCAGCAATATATGATCGAACAACTGCCACATTTCCTAAGGTGAAAGCAACCCAGAATAAAGGAAATATCCTTCAGTTATAAAATTCAGTTCAAAATTCAAAATTTGGCTTTACACAGAAGAAGAAATATTGATAAACATTATGGTCGTTGCTTCCTCTGTAAGATCATAGAAAGCATGTAAGGTATTTTTATTGAACGAACACATCAACTAATGTATTTTCACTAATACAAAATAATTAGCATAGTTGGGCAGGGTGGTACATACCTGTAATCCCAGCACATGAGGTAGCCTGAGCTAGGTATATATTGAGACTCTGTCTCAAAACAACAACTACCAAAACAAAATAGAAAACTAAACCAAACAAACAACCCACACAACAGTTAAAACCAAGTTTTAAATGATTGTAAAATGGCATTGTAAGAATACCAAGATTTTTTTCATCAAACACTTAGAAAGCTCTGCGTGTATAGCACATTGAGTGCTACACTTTAAGCAAAGGTGTCACAGACTGCATATATAGACCTGTAATACAAGAAACAGGAAAAATGTAATAATAATTTAACTCAAAAATTTTATTGAGCACTTATTTTATATAAGAGATTCTGTTAGGAGCCACAGAAAATTAACTGTCCCTGATGCAAAAAAGCTTACTAATCTGACTAGTGGGAAAGGATGGAATCAGTGCAACAGTGCAAGCAAAGGCCAGAAGTACAACAAAGAAGAAAAAGAGCCATTCAGGAGTAGGGATGCCTAAGAGGACTCCACCCAGGGCCCAGCACTTAATCTGAGTCTTGAGGATAAAGATTAATGGGAATATAATGAGCAAAGGCAAAATAAAAGATACCTGTTTCTGCGAGATCCCCATGCTGAACTGTGAGATATAAGCCAGAAGGGATGAGAGGAGAAACAGGACCATAAACATCAGGAAGAATGTGAACCCAACACAACACACACACACACACACACACACACACACACACACACACACACACACACACACACGTACCTGCTCCAAATCCCACCAATCCACGAGCAATCAACATGTAGTATTTATTGTGAGCTGCTGGCATGTGGACATATGCATATAGGCAGTTGGCTGCCACCGAAATAAAGATGGAGGCGGTAAGAGGTTCTTTTCTTGGCCTATAATTAGACCATAAACCAAATATAGGTGAAGCTACCATTTGGCCAAGACTAAATGAAGCAACAACCCAGCCCAAAAAACTTGCATCGGCTGTCTGATCAATCTGCAGAGAAAAGTACAAGGCTTTAAGAATCATTACACAAGAACAGTTTTCAGCTTGTGGCAGTTACAAACATTCAAATTCAGACTTCTCTGTGTATATAAGTCTTCAGATCAGTTAGGTAACTACACGGCTGCTAGATCATGCCATAAAACTATATTCAACTTTGTAACAACGGCCAAGCTGTATTCTAGAGTGGGTGAACCAACTGTATTCCAACTTGTGGACTGAGTAACTTTGATGGGGGTGTTCTGTAAATGCAGTGTTATAACACTATGAGTACTAAGGACACAGAGAGAGAGGTGTAGTCATCTCTTGGTGTCTCTAGGACTGACTCCAGGACTCCTGAGAACATCAAAATGAGTGCATATGCAAGACCTTTTACACAAAATATGTTTGCATGTGGCCTATACATACCCTCCCTCACGTATAAACCATCTTCTAATTACTTATAATACCTAATACAATGTAAATGCTATACAGTCAACTGTTATACTATATAGTTTGGGGAATAGTGATAAGAAAAATACTACAGGTGATTTTAAAAACATTTTCAATCATGGTCACTTGAATTTGCACATGCAAAACCCAAGGGTAAGCACGACCAATTACACACAGAAAAACCTTTGACCCAAACTGAGGGAAGGAACAATCAGAGACAGCTTTCTAGAAAAAAACTGACAGGAACCAAAGCTCGAAGACTGAACAAAGGAAGGAAGGAAGGAAGGAAGGAAGGGAGGGAGGGAGGGAGGGAGGGAGAAAGGGAGGGGCAGGAGAGAGAAAAGGAGTGACAGAGTATATAACATACTTTAGTAAATTGTCATGTGTTGTTTGAGCTCACTGAGAAGCTGGCTCTAGATATGGGGTTGTCCTTCCCCCATTTCAGACTCAAGCATGTCTGTCTCAAAGTGTCCTCTTAAGTCACTTGTCTGGTGATGGGTTGCCCCCCAAATATGTGACAGGGAGGAAACAAAACAGCAAAACAGCCCAAGAGTAAAAACATAGTATACTTGAGAAGAGGATCTCTGTGAGTTCCAGGCCAGCCTGGTCTATATAGTGAGTTCCAGAACAGCTGGAGCTACAGGGAGACCCTGTCTCAAAAAGACTAAATAAATAAATAAATAAATAAATAAATAAATAAATAAATGTAAAAATAAAAATAAATAAAATGCTACCAGGTAAGGTGGCTGCATACCTTTAACCCTACTTGGGAAACAAGGTAGGCAGATCTATGAGTTTGTGGCCAGGTTGGTCTACACAGTGAGTTGCAGATCAGACAGGGTTATACAGTAGGACTCTGTTTCAAAAAAACAAGAAAGAAAAACAAAAGAACAGACAGAGGGAGGAAGGGGACGAGGGAGAAAGGGAGAGGGGGAGGGAGGGAAAAACAAATGTGTCAAGGTTTACATAGCCTTGGTTCAACTGTGTCAAGGTTTACATAACCTGGGTTCACTTAAGTAGGTATGTCTAATACCTTGCTATAGGCCATATCGAAACATATACAACAACTTCTATGGAAAATAAATAAGCAAAAAATAAGCTAATAAACAACTTAAGAATAAATAGAGTTAAGACAAAAGCCAGCAAAAAGACACGTCGTGGAAAGTAAGAGACAGTCAGGAAGTAGGGAAAAGGTCAGTAGAGTCAAGCATAGACCCACATCATCTAAGGACTGAAAAGTGAACAGAGACAGGTACTATCTTTTCTTGTTGCTATTCTCCCACAATTCTCTCAAACAATATTTACATTGTACTAGGTACTATATGCAATCTAGAGATGATTTAAAGTATATAGAGAATGTACACAAATTATATGCAAACACTACAATACTTTATGTAAGGGAATTGAGCATCCACTTTTTAGTATTCCTTGTAGGGGCCTGAAAGACAATCTCCCAGGAATACTAAGGGACAGCCATATTACCTATTCTTTTCACAATATTTACTGAAAACACAAATTACTTCTATGGAGGAAATGATGAAATCATTCCTCAGAAATATCATATGTACATTTTGAGAATTCAGATTATGTCTAGTTTAGTTTTCTTTTCATTAGGGAGAGCTAGTGATAGGATGTGAAAGTGGCTAATAAGTAGATGACCACACTTTCACTTTTACCTGAAACTGTCTAGACATAAATCTATTTTGCTGATACAGCAACTTTTTTTACTTTAAATACCTTTGTTTACACAATAAAACATATGGTCAACTTACTTAAGCCTCTTATGAGAAACTTCTACCTCAAGTTTATTCTAGGATAGATTAAAATGCAGACTACCAAAGATACTCTCTAGAAAATGCTTAACTACTAAGTAGTAACTATAAGAGTTACTACTACCATTGCTTAAAAGAATAGACTGAAATGTACAAACCTTTTGGAGGTATGGCCATATAGACATTATTACAATAGAAAATCCTGCAAAGAGGCAAATACGATTATTTAGTATTATAATAATTGAATCACTATTACAGTTTTTGTAAATATAGTATGGATTTTAAAAATATTCTGAACCTTCAAATTTATACATATAAATACTTAATTTATCAAGCAGTGAGATTTTAATCTTATCAAAAGAAAAATAAACTAAAAAACTAGGGAAACGTAGTTATAGTCTCTGGTATTAATTAATACAACAAAAGCAGAGGACTTATTTGTCCTCTCTTATGTCTTTGTCTTAAATGGAAATTACTGAAAGTTTTGTGAAGCCTATGACAGGTACAAATGGAAGAAGGGCCACTCTAAAGAGGAAAGTGCTAGTCTTCTAGTCTGTATTGTTTAGAAGGGAGAATTCACTGCAAGGGAGACAAGAAGAGGGAGCATGGTCACCTAAAGGGAGCCGTCTTAATCAAGATACCTTAAAGAAAAATTCATTTCTGTTAGCCTTTAGCACTTGAGAACTACAATGTGCTATTTGTCAATGTTATTTATCTTTTTTTCCTTTTTGTAATGATGGAGATCAACCCAGAGTCTTATGCATTCTAGGTAAGTGCTCTCCCACTCAATTAAACCCAAGTCTGAATGTCCATTTTAAATGTTAGGTGACTAATCAGAAATTATAGAAAGCCTATGTTAAATTTTTTTGCCTTATTACTCTCTGTAGTGGTCATTCCTGTAATCTCAGCACTCAAGAAGCTGAGGCAAGAATATCAGGAGTTCCAGATACACCTGAGATCCTGCTTCATTTAAAGAAAAAAATCATTGAGAAATAATTCATGTACTACACAATTCACCCATTTAAAGTATGTAATTCAGGTAGTGAGGGCAGAAGAGGGCAATGGCAGGGAGAACATATTCAAAATATACTACACAGGAGCTAGGGACAAGGCTCAGTTGGTAAAGTTCTTGCCTTACAGGCATGGGAACCTGAGTTTGGATCCCCAGCACCATGTAAAAGTCAGAAGCTGAGGCCAGCAATGTTAACCCCAGTGCTAGGAGGAAGGGGGCAAAGATAGGAAGATCCCTGGAGCTCCTGTTTTCTTGTGTTTTATTTTTAATTTATGTGTGTATGTTTGTGTGTGTGTGATGCACATGTGTAAAAGTGCATGTATGCATATGAAGGTCTGACAACTTCCAGGAATCTGCAGAACCATGTAGGTCCTGAGGATCAATCTGAGGTCAGGCTGAGCCATCTTGCTGGCCCTAAAGTCTGCTTTTAATGTAACCTAATTATTAGTTTCATTTTTGTGCTTTTGTTTTGGCACTGCTGAGGATTGAACCCCAGGGCCCTGGCTGTACTGGGTATGCACTTTACCACTGACATACACCTCTAGCTCTTTATGTATTTTGAATTGACAAGTTGACTTTGATGAATAAAGGATTTAAATAACCAATATCTCGAGTATGGTGGCCCACACCTATAATCCCAGTAATTGGGAAACTGAAGCAGGAGGTTCAAGAGTTTGAGGCCAGTCTAGGATACATAGTGAAATTCTGTCTCACAACCTCCTCCACCCCTGGGGGAAAGAAGATAAAAAGAATCTTTAAAATCTAACACAAACTTGCAAACAAGTAAAATGTTTAACATGCCAATCAACATCTAAAGCTAATTTTCTTTTTCTATTGTTAAACTTGAAATTTTTTTTAGACAGCTGACTAATAAAAAACTAGGTGTCTTAAATGAAGAAAAAAAAAAGGGGGTGGGGGGGAGAGGCAGGCATAGTGTCACGTGTCTATAATCCCAGCACTACGGGGTTGAGGTAGCCAAACTGTGAGATCAAGGCCAGCCTGGGCTACAAAATAAGGGTCTTTCTAACTAAATAAATATAATGATCTTAAACTACTACAAGTTAAAAATATTTACAATTCTAACTTCTAATACTTACCAACACTGCTGAGGAACATAGTAAGATAGAGAATCCTAATAGACCTCCATCGGCTTTTATAGTGCTCTTGAGTTTCTATCACATCCCATTCTCTAGGTATGAAAAAGGAAAAAAGTCACACAGGTTGAGCACCCCTAACCTCAAAACCCCAAATTCAAAACATTCCAATGTCTGAAGCTTTTCTGAGTGCTGGTATGATACAAGTGGGGGATTTTACACACCTTCCTTTTTGTGATGAGTTAGAGGGAAAACAGAAGTGCACTAAGAGTATAACATTTCCTCCAATAGCCTAGAACCTGGAAAAATTAAAAATGAGAAACAGTTCTTGTCCCAAGCATTTCAGGTAAATAAATACACACAGGCTGAATATCTCTTTCATTATGACTTCATTTATTGATAATTTTATTTTCTCTTCCCTAAAGTTAGGAAAATGATATGACATGCATACTTTATTAATATTGGTTCCCGCTACACTAATTCATCTATGAGAAATCATTTTTAAATTGCCCTGGATTATATTAATGCATCATTATATACTTGAAAGACAGAAGATACTTTTAAAAAGCAAAACATTTTACAAAGCAATTACTTTGCCATTTTTTCCCCTTTTCATGTGTATGGTGTGCATGTGTATTATGTTTTTGCCTGTGCATGGGTGCACATGTTCACAGGTGCATGTTTGACCTGTTGCCTAATATGGCCTGTCTCTTCCTTTTTTTTTTTTAGGGATTACACAATATTTTAATATACAGGACGTTTTAAACAACTTTACAGAGTCTATGTTTCAAATTCACTTTATACACATACATTGAAGGCATTTCATATAGCATTTTAGCACTTCTCTATTTTTTATTCATTACCTGAGCTCAGGTGCAGAACATACCAACTGAGTTATCAGATTACCAACCGGAGGGTCCAGATCAGAAGCTTTTTGTATATTCACACTGAGCACATTTAACTTATCAATAATGGGATTTGAGATGAGGTTCTATAGTGAGCATTTTGTAAGATTTTATTCTCAGATTGAAATATTTACATGCCATTTTCCTTGGAGTTTTGTGTTAGGAAATATGCGACTTCAGCCCTGCCCGCCTCCCCAGAATGATTGGCATTTAACTGGGGGTATGGCATTTAGACTGTGTGGGTCCACCGTGAGTCATTGAAAATGACTGGTTTTGTATACTCAGGATTCTCCATTTCTTTTCCTATGGTAGAAATATGCCAAACATACATCACACTAAAATACACTCTCACTCATAAAACAAACAAACAAACAAAAAAAACCTACTATGACGGATTTTCCTTGTCCATAAATTTTTCAAGGAACATTTGAAACTAACGAAGCATTGCTAATGCATTGAAGGAAAATATATCCCTTCAACTCTGAGTCACAAAATGGTAAAAATTTTCATGGTATCCTTTATAAACTAGAAATTAGAAAATATGAATTGGGGGGAGCTTTCTGCTGAGATAGGGTCTCCCTGTAGGCCTGCGTGACCTCAAACTCACAATGAACACTATCCTGGCATTGAACTCAGAAATCTGTCTGCCTCTGCCTCCCGAGTCCTGGGATTATAGTTGTGAGCAACCACGCCAAGTGAAAATATAAATTTAGTTGAAGGTAAAATTAGCCTATGGTTTCTAACGTTTCTAAATAAGTTACATCTATCAAAATGTCATATACCATTTGATGAAAATCTATCATATTATAGTGAGTGAACTGTGTCCTGGTCTTTTTATTATGGAATCCACTGTTGGATAAATATATTTCCCCTTTCATATGCAAATTAAGATGCTGCTACTTCATACACTTTAGGACTTTCCAAGTCGCATATATCTGTAAACATTTTCAGTATTCACATGCTATTTAGAGAATATGTAGCAATTCATTGATACTTAGGTGCTTTATTGACACAGTGTATTCTTTGACAGTAAATAATGAGGTATTAATCTTTGAATTTTGTGAGGTTCCTGTTCACTATGAAATATCTAAAGTTTCCTAAGACAGGAGCCATTTGTAAATAGTAGCTGACATGATTTTTATCTCTAGGTTCTCAATAAATAAGGATTCTGTGATATTCAACAAAATTGGACGGGAAAGTGAATGTTTTCTCCTCAGTTTTTATGTTGTTAGTTTCTCACATATACAAATTAAAAATAAATTTCGATTTGATATTTTGCAATATTGTACTTAATTCTAAGTTTTCTTTCAGTACACTATGAAGCTTTGTAATATATAAGTATAAGCATTTGAATATTTTCCAGACTTTTGGACATATTCCTCTACTAAAGATTCTGTTTTGTTTTCTAAGGATTGAGCACAGGGTAAAAAATGTACCACATTCTGTGCAACTGTGAAGTATCTCTCTAGTTTGAATTTTTGATAACTGCTACCATTTGACATATGATTAAAGGAATCAACACATTCCTTATATTTTTCTGTCTCCCTTAAATGTAAATTCTTTGATGTTCACTAAGAGTTGAAATACAGGAACAGGACTTGTCAAATTCTTTTAACTTTGTGGTT